CAACTCATCACTGATCATTTCATAAAATCCCGATCGATCATCTGAACAGAATGCATTAACGTGCTCAAAATCATTCTGGTTAGGTTTTCCTTCTTCAGCATCATCACTGCCATTGGTTACGAGTTCGTCAGGAGTTCCATATCTGGCTTGAACGACATCGATGAAACAGCGACCGATTGAGCAAGGTAGGCAGAAGAAACGAGACGAAGTGGGAACAGGGCATACGTTTTGCATATGTAACATACGACGGTCCCGAGTTGTTTAATGTACGTTACGTCGGAATAAATGAAGTTGAGGTGCGCCGTGCGATAAAAAGGACAAGTGTTACGGTACGCAGTAGGGGGACACGACGTTCCTCTTACGTGCTTTTAGGAAAGCTCCAGAAGCACGTGCATCCCGCAGGAGAGACTAAATTTTCTGCCGCATATTTTGATTTAAGTCTACGTCAGTTTGGTAGACCGATGGACTTGACTCCATACGTGCAATCGTTTATTACGACGTGTAAAGTGATCGACAATAGTATACAAATCTGCAAGCCCATATAAATATAGGTGTGGGCGGTGTCCAGATACCGTATCGTTGATTTACATTATGAGTACAATTACGATATGGGATAATAGGGCGCACCGCGCCGACAACAATGCTTAGATTACCTACTTGATAGCACACTTACGATACCGATAAGTCATGCCTGGTATCGTCCCAAGATGTGTTTATAATGAGCATTACCTAAGGAGATTAACTAGACTAGCTGTGAGCCCACAACAGTCAGGTTTTTCGCTCAGTATATCAAGCCTTTGTACAATTACGATATGGGATAATAGGGCGCACCGCGCCGACAACAATGCTTAGATTACCTAAGCTTATCGTTGTAGATTGTGTGTGAAATATTTGTACAACTGACTGTGCACGTGCATCCCGCAGGAAAGGAATAAAACTTCTGCAGCACATTCTGCTCAACGTCTACACCAGGTTCTCCACTCGATTTAGACGTCAAGCCTTTGAAACTACACAATCCAGCACCAGACTCACTGCTAATACTCAACCGTGCAATTTCAAAAGAGAGCTTATCGTTGTAGATTGTGTGTGAAATATTTGTACAACTGCCTGTGCAAAAGCGTAAAAAGATTCATCTTGTCGATTAGTGTATTTCCGATTTAATTTTTGAAAAACACGTGCTCGGACGACCTTGTTTCTTGAGTACAGCGAATCTATTCACCGCCTGTTTGTACACCGCCACAAACACAATACTACTTTCAATCTTTTCATCACTCCGTTTCTTCGTGGAGCGAATTTGAAACACCGATGTTTGAATACCGGGAAATTTGCTTCTCTTACGCTTTGGTAGATTTAGCTTAGCCCCCGTATTCTGATAAAGCTTCAAGACTGCTTCAGTTCCTCATTGACGTAAATAATTGTTAACACGTTGCGTACCGGCGCCTTCGGCGATTTTCCCATGCGCGTGGCCAAGCGATTTTTGGTTCGGCTCGCGGCGTGCATCACCATCACCGCTTGGCCACAAGGAACAGTTT